TAGCAAATAATTAGTAGCATTATCAATTATTTTTAATAAAGATACTTAGTGATTATAAACACCCCACTGATTATTATCGATTAAATTTATCGATAATAATCAATTAGTTGTTAGCTATTATTATTTATTAGTCTAAAAGATTTCTTGATGTATAAATGATATTTTGATTATTATTTTTATTATATATTAATGCTTTTTATCTTCTGATTAGGTATACACATCATAAATGACTCGACAATCCTTAGTACATCAATTGATCAGCGATTAAATTTATGGAGCATTACATTTAAAAATTTAGTCAATAATGGTGAAATAAGTGAACAGAATGAAGAAAGTAAATTTGAATTGATTAAATCGGAATTTGTTGATGTTTGCGATCCATCCTGTATGGATGTTTTAAGAATTAATGGTGGAAATGATAAAAACGATAAATTAATGATAGCTATTAGTGGGGTTGGAATAAAGTTGTTTCAGATTAATTTATAACTTTTTAGCATAAAATGTATCCTAGAATTTCTACATGCTATCTCTCAGTCTGTAACTATTTGGACTGAAATTTTATTATAAATTTATATTTGATCTATTGTTTTTTTTTTTTTTAAAAAAAAGAAAAATTATATATATAATATATGTATATAAATATATATGATAATAAATTCTTGAAATAATGCGTTATTTTGATCATTGCTTTATTTCGAGATAAAGAGTTAATTTTCAGCTAAGTTGGATTTAAGGTTGGCCCGATTTAAAGTTAGCATTGGTAGGAATTAAATTTTTAGAAACTTTGATATTAAATCCGCAGAACGTGAACGTTATACAGTCAGAACTCTCTAAATGCATAGCCGAGAGGCGGCCAAAAAATTTTACATTTAAAGGTATTGCATTTAAGGAGGTAAAAATCTGTCATATAAGTTGGGGCCACGCATTTAGAGAGACTGCATTTAGAGAATATGCACTTAGGGAAGTGCAATTTTAAGTTTACATATACATTTGTACACTTATGACAAAGTTATATTAAATTTTGGCCATTCAATGCGTAAATTTCGTTCTTGATTCACACTAGATAAATATTGCAAAAAAGAA